AGAGAGAGCTCAAGGAACGGAATGAAAAGGGGGAGAAGGAAGAGGAAAGAGGCGAGAAAACAGGCTAGGGGAGATGAGGACCAGACAAAAAAAAAAAAAAATTCTCTCGCATATGTGATCCAGACGAGACAAGTTCGTGTTATGGGCGTAACCCTCTGACAACTCGACACGCAATTATAGACTTTTTTGTCCCTTGGCTTAAGGCTGGGTATAGAATTTATGGATAATTACCTCTCGTCCTGCAACAGGGTAGAAATAAAGAACAGGGAGGAGGAGGAGGAAGACGAGAAGGGGAGGAGGAGGAGGAAAAGAAGTGGAGGAGGAGGAGGAGAGAGGAGGAGGAGGAGGAGGAAGACGAGAAGGGGAGGAGGAGGAGAGGAGGAAGGAGGAAGGAGAAGGAGAGGAAGACGGAAAGACGAAAGGGAGAGAAAGGCAAGAAGGGAATGGAGGAAGTGAAGGGCAGAAAGGGAAGAAATTGGAAAAGGGAAGAGGGAATGAAGGAAGGAAAGGGGGAGGGGAAGAAGAGTCTCGTTTTCTACATTCCTTTCCACCTTTTTACACCCTTTTCTTCACGTACTTTATCGCCGTGTGTATCTTCCTCCGCATCTGTTCATTCATCGTTTCCGTCGCTCCTTTATTTCTGACTTTCTTTGCCCTTTCATCTATTTTTTTTTTTGTCAACTGCACCTCTCTTTCTTTCTCTCTCTTTATTTCGTTGACAGAAAAAGAGAGAAAAAAAAGGGAGAAACGAAGAAGAAGAAAAAAAAAAAAAAAGGAAAGAGAGGAGGAGGAGGAGAGAGGAGGAGGAGGAGGGAGGAGGAGGAGGGAGGAGGAGGAGAGAGGAGGAGGAGGAGGAAGACGAGAAGGGGAGGGGGAGAAGGAAGAGGAAAGAGGCGAGAAAACAGGCTAGGGGAGATGAGGACCAGAAAAAAAAAAAAAAAAAAAAAAGGAAAGAGAGGAGAGGAAAGAAACGTAGACAAGTCGCGAGGGCAAGGGAGATGGCACATTGAGAGCCAGTGGGTACTAGACAGCTGGTGGGGGACAGGTGGTGGTGCGAGGTCCTGGGCGCGGAAGACCCGAGATATGGGGCGAGATAAGGGCTTTGTGTGACAGCTGGACCCTTCAGGAGGCTGGCGGGCGGCGTGACGTAACGAGGAAGAACGAAGGAGGAAGGAGGAGGAGGAGGAGGAGGAGGAGGAGGAGGAGGAGGAGGAGGAGGAGGAGGAGAGAGAGGTGGAGGGAAAGAAGTGGAGGAGGAGGAGGAGGAGGTGGAGGAGGAGGAGGAGTAGGAGGAGGAGGAGGAGGAAGAGAAGGGGAGGAGGAGGAAGATGAGGGAGGAGGAGGGAAGAGAAGGAGGAGGGAGGAAGAGGAGAAGGAGGAGGAGGAGGAGGAGGAAGACGAGAAGGGGAGGAGGAGGAAGAGGAGGAAGGAAGAGGGAGGATGACGAGGAGGGCGATGAGGAGGAAGAAGAAAAGAAGGAAGAAATGTAAGAAGGGAGAAGGAGAGAGGAAGGGAAGAGAAGAAAGGAGCGAATAGGAAGACGGAGGCAAGATGAAGGAGGGAAAAAGAGGAAGAAGGGAAAAAGAATGAGAAGAAGAATGAAGAGGGGATAGGAGGAGATGGAGGGAAGGGGTAAATAGACAAGGGAGGAGGGGAAGGTAAACAAAGGAAAGGGAAAGGAGTGAAGAGAAAGAGAAGGAAAGGAAGAGACGAAGAGGAGAGAAAGAGAAGGAGAGGAAGACGGAAAGACGAAAGGGAGAGAAAGGCAAGAAGGGAATGGAGGAAGTGAAGGGCAGAAAGGGAAGAAATTGGAAAAGGGAAGAGGGAATGAAGGAAGGAAAGGGGGAGGGGAAGAAGAGTCTCGTTTTCTACATTCCTTTCCACCTTTTTACACCCTTTTCTTCACGTACTTTATCGCCGTGTGTATCTTCCTCCGCATCTGTTCATTCATCGTTTCCGTCGCTCCTTTATTTCTGACTTTCTTTGCCCTTTCATCTATTTTTTTTTGTCAACTGCACCTCTCTTTCTTTCTTTCTTTCTCTCTTTCTCTCTCTCTCTCTCTTTCTTTCTCTCTCTTTCTTTCTCTCTTTTTCTTTTACTTTTTCTTTTTCTTTTTCTTTTTCTTTTTCTTTTTCTTTTTCTTTCTTCTCTCTCTCTCTCTCTCTCTCTCTCTCTCTCTCTCTCTCTCTCTCTCTCTCTCTCTCTCTCTCTCTCTCTCTCTCTCTCTCTCTCTCAATTTTCACCTCATCTCTCTTTGTCTCCATGTTCTTCTCTTCATCTTCGCTATTTCCTGATTCCTTTGTAAACTCCTACTTCAATTACGTGTCCTTCGTTTTTCCCCTTTTTTTTCTCTCTTTATTTCGTTGACAGAAAAAGAGAGAAAAAAGGGAGAAACGAAGAAGAAAAAAAAAATCTCTCGCATATGTGATCCAGACGAGACAAGTTCGTGTTATGGGCGTAACCCTCTGACAACTCGACACGCAATTATAGACTTTTTTGTCCCTTGGCTTAAGGCTGGGTATAGAATTTATGGATAATTACCTCTCGTCCTGCAACAGGGTAGAAATAAAGAACAGGGAGGAGGAGGAGGAGGAGGAGGAGGAGGAGGAGGAGGAAGAGGAGGAGGAGGAGGGGGGGAGGAGAAGGGGGGGAGGGGAAGTACGCGAAGAAGGGGAAAAAGAAGGAGGAGGAAGAAAACGGAAAATAATAATTATAATGATAATAAGAATACGAAAAAGAAGAAGAGGAAACAGAAAATGATGATGATGAAATAGAAGAAGAAGAAAAAAGAAGCATCCTTAAAATGAGGAAAAGAAAGAGAAGACGAAAGAGAAGGAAATAAAGAATAAAAGATAATAAGCTAAAAATGAAGAAAGAGATAGAGGACAAAGAAAACAAAACAGAAAAAAACACGAAATCGATTAACATCAAATCCACTAAAAAAAAATTCGTCCCTATTTTCCTTCGTGTTCACTCGAAAATGCATTTTTTTTTTCTTCTCATTTTCATTTTCCTTTATTTTGTCATTCGTTCTGCCTATAATGCAGACGGAGATAATAGCCTCCTCTGAGTGCAGTGTCGACGTCATTATCACAGCCGAATGTCAAACAATTTGTGAGTTGAATTCATGAAAAAAGAGTGAGTTTAGTTTACGCATTACCTGAGACTAATTCCGTGTGTTTTCGTTGATGTTATTTTCATCATCGTTCCCCGTGCAAATCTGAAGATCAGCTGTTCTTTATGAAAATTAATATCAGGTGTGTGTATGTATGTGTATATATGAAAAAGAGACAACGACTCTTTCTTGAAGATTTGACTCCCGAGCGAAATGTCTCCCATAAATAAGAAAATCGTCCGTGATGTTTCTCATCTTGGCGCCATTAAAGTCCTCTCACACAGCTTATACTGTCTGTTTTATTTTTTTATTTATTCATTTTCTTTTTATCTTTTAGTCTCTAGCTCCTTCTCTTTCTTTTTCTTTTTCTTTTTTTCTCTGTCTCTTTCTCTTTCTCTCTCTCTTTCTAATCCCTAAATCCTTTTCCTTCTCCATTCCACTTCTTTTCCTTTTCTTCCTTTCCCTTCCTCCTTTTTTGGTCTTTATCCATCCCTTCCCTTAACCTCTATTTCACCCTTTCCTCTCCCTTTCCCCAATTCCCCATTTTTTCTCCCCTCTTCCTTTCTTCCCCCTTCATTTCTCCTTTTCCCCTTACCTTTCTTCCTTCCACAATGCCACTTTCCTCTCCCCCTCCCTTTTCCCCTCCCCTTCCTCCTTCCTTTCCCTATCTCCCCTCCCCCTCCTCCTTCCTTTTGCCCTTCTCCCCTCCCCCCATCCTCCTTTCTTTCCCCCTTCTCTCCTTCCCTTCCTCTTTCCTTTTCCCCTTTTTTCCTTCCCCTCCTTCCTTTTCCCCTTCTTTCCTCCCCCCCTCCTCTTTCCTTTTCCCCTTCTCTCCTTCCCCTCCTCTTTCCTTTTCCCCTTCTCTCCTCCCCTCCTCTTTCCTTTTTCCCTTTTCTCCTCCCCCTGCTCCTTCGTTTCCCCTTCTCCCCTCCCCCCCTCCTCTTTCCTTTTCCCCTTTTCTCCTCCCCCATCCTCTTTCCTTTCCCCTTCTCCCTCCCCCCATCCTCTTTCCTTTTCCCCTCTCCCCTCCCCCTTCCTCCCCTCAACCAAATAAATAAGTCAACTCTGTCGCGGAAAAAAACAAAGGCTCTTTCAACATACACATCCAAGGTAGTGTATGCGATGTGGTATCGCTGTATGGTCGTTTGTATTCTCTCTTTTCCCTCTTCCGTCCTTCCTCTTTTTTGTTCTGCCTCTCTATATTCTGGGAAAATTCTTCCTTCTGATTCTCTTTTAATCTTATAATTCTTTCTGTCCCCTATTCTTCCTCTGAGTTATTCTCTCCCCCTCTTTCTTTCTCCCCCTACTCCCCCCCTTATATACTTCTACTCCTCCGCCTCCTCCTCCTCCTTTTTCCAAACTTTCTTGCAATACGAAATATATTTTGCTTTCTTCCCTGTCTCTTCCTTTTTCTTCTCTCTCCATCAAGGTGTCGTGAAAGTGCCATCCAATCCCGAGGCAGCGAGATGGAGAATGAAGGTTACATTATGCATATTTCTGGCGCCCCTATCGCCAAGGACTCGGAGGGGGGGGGGGGTAGTAGCAAGGACTATGTCTCTCTCTCTCTCTCTCTCTATCTATCTATCTATCTCTCTTCTTGTATTTCCTTCCATTTCTCATTCCTTTTCCTTCTCGATTGCTTGTTTCTGCCTCTGCCTACATAATACACAAATACTTAAATGTATACATACATACACACACACACACACACACACACACACACACACACACACACACACACACATACATACATGCATACATACATACATATACACATACATATACCTACATACATACCTATATATCTACCTATCTATCCACGTACTCATCCGCGTCTCAACCTCCCAATTCCAATCAACGCCTGTCGCCCCTTCCTTTCCCTTACCTTCACGAGATCATCCTGCGTGTTGAAGTCCTTATTGCACTCCTTCCAGTGGCAATGCGTCTCGATGAAGTCCGGAGGCTCTTCCTTGAGTCCGTCGTCGTCCCTGGCAGCGGCACTCACCCCCCCGGTGCCACACGCCCCCGCTGAGGTAGTGCTCGCCGCTTCCTTCTTCACCTTGGATGCCTTATCTTCCTCCATCGTGCTGGAGATCGTGGGCGACGCTTTCTTCTCGCCCTGGAGGAACAGGAGGGGTGGAATGGAATGGTTAGACGCTGGGTTGGGAATTGGGGTTAGGAATGTTTTGGAATCTGGTTGGGAATGGGGTTAGGACTGGTTATGAATGTGGTTAGGAATTGGGGTTAGGAATGTTTGGGATTTTGGTTGGGAATGGGGTTTAGGAATGTTCTGGTATATGGTTAGGAATGGGGTTAAGAATGGCTGGGAACTGGGTTTGGTTAGGAATGGGTCGCATGTGAACATTATGTGACACGGTTCAAAGGCGCCATTTTTTAAAACGACGCGGCCGAGGGCGTAGGGGCTAGGATAAGGGAGAGGGAATAAAATGGTGTTTCTTTTCCTCGCTGCCATGCGGTTGGCGAGGGACAAGGAACAAACACTATTTATCGTTCTCATGACTTCGGTTTATCGTTCTCATGACGTTTTTTTTATTACTCTCATGGCTTATTCTTTATTTTTCTCATGACTTATTCTTTATTTCTCTCATGACTTCCTTTTTATTGTATTATTTTTAACTGTATTTCTCTTTCATGACTGTTTCCTTCTGCTTTCCTCCCAAGACCTATCCGAGCCCCGAGCCCTTGCGGGAGCGCGCGGCGGGTGTGCTTACCAGCTTGAGGTGCCATACCTCAGCCTTCGGGGGCAGGGTTGGGAGGCTCGGCTGCGAGGAGAGCGAGAACAGACTCTGGTGGGTGGCCAGGGTGGAGGGGCTGTGCTGCAGGAGGGGGGACGGCGCCAGGAACGGGGAGCCGGGGAGCGACGCCCCGCGCATCAGGTGGGCCTGGAGCTGCTGGAGGTGCGTCGCCGCGCCCACGGAGGGGTGGACGCCCAGCGCCGGGGAGATGGCTCCTGAGGGCAGCGGGAGAGTCGGTTTATTAAGATCATTAATAAAATACAATGGATAAAGCTACATACTTACGTAATTAAGCAAGAATTTTATACGCACACCTCTATATCAACCTTTTTACCCATGCACGAACATCTACAACACTAAATACATAAAAAAAACACCAAAAAGACACACGAACCTGCAGACAGATGGCCGTAGGACCCACTCGCCGACGAGGATCTGGACCCGTTCATGATGGACACGAGGGAGTTGGGGCTGAAGCGAATCATCGAGTTGATGTCGAAGGAATCGCTATACGGGGACGAGGACAGCGCGCGCTTCCGGCTCTGGCGGAGGCTCGGCCGGGGGGAGGTGAGCCGCGACCCTGGGGGAGAGGGGGGAGTGAGGGTTAGTCGTGTGAGGGAAGGGGTGAATAGACAGAAATACATACATATATATACGGTACTTACATACATACATATATAAATAAGATCTAAACATAGAAAGACACTTAGACACAGAGACGCGTATGTCTGTTCACATAATCTCGAGATCCACACAACAGAAACAAAAACACCGAACCAATAGATCTCCACGCTCTCAACACACAAAAAAAGAAGACGAAGACAGAGACAAAGACTTAAGTAAACGGAAGAAGAGCAAGACTTACGAAGAAAGAAAGAAGAAATAACCAAGACTCAAGAACACGGAAGAAAAGAAATACACACAGAAAAAAAAACAAAAGAACACGAGAACCGAACACAAAGGCAAATAATCCGCGCGCTTCCGGCACACCCATCCGACCCGCGCCCACTGCACCTCGATAAGCACCCTCCTCACGCAGCCTGTCTAACAATAACAACAACTTGATAAATCACTTATTGCCAGTCTAATTCATGTTTGCCACAGGTGGACGGACCCCCTGATCGCTATCGCCGAGACCGCGGACTGTGTTGTCTGTGGATGCTGCGCCAGATCGGGTACGGGAGATGAAATATGGAAAGAGATGCTCTCATGCGTCGGCCCGGGAGATAAAGCGTGTGATTTGAGGTCGGGGATGCTGTAATAATTATACGAGATAGTTATGCTACACAGTCAATGGCAGGCGGGAAGGTGCTGGTGTGTAGCGTGGCTCATACACGGGGGGAGGGGGGAGGGGGGTGGTGGGTGACGAAATGAGGAGGTGGAAGGTAGTGGAGAGAAAAGGGTGATGGATGGATTGGTTGCTCATCCACCTACCGAGGAAAGGCCAGCGGAGGCTTATACGTCACCCCATTCTGCGACGCCCATGTCTTCCCCATTTCCATATCTTACCCCAACCTCTACCTCCACGGTCCTCTCCTCCTCCTCCCCTCCCCTGCCCCCCCCCCCATCCTCCTCCATTTTCCCTCACCATCTCCATCCTCTTCTACCTTCCTAGTGGCTACTCCCTCTTCTCCCTCCTCCCTTACTATCCCTTATCCATTAACCCTTCTCCCTCTCATCCCTTCTCCCTCCTCCCCCAACCCACACTCCTCAACCCTCCCCCTCCCCCTCCCCTCCTCATCCCTCCCCCTCCCCCAACCCACACCCCTCATCCCTCCCCCAACCCACCCTCCCCTTACTCCTCATCCCTCCCCCCCTCCCCTTCCCCCTCCCCCCCCCAATCCACACTCCTCATCCCTCCCCCTCCCCCTCCCCCTCCTCCACCCCTTCCCCTCTCCTCCCCTCCTCTCCTCCACCCCCCTAGATCGGCCGGCCAGATAGGCTAGCTGTCACCCTAACAAATTCATCAGAGGTCCGGGCCGTGCCTGGCGCTGCAGCGAAGACGACGCGGTGTAAATAAGGTGCGCAAGATCCCCAATTGGATAACGCGCAGGGTGGGGGAGGGGGAGGGGGGCACAGGGGAGGGGGAGGGAGAGAGCATAGGGGAGTATAAGGGAGGGGGAGGGGGACACAGGGGAGGGGGGCACAGGGGAGGGGGAGGGAGAGAGCATAGGGGAGTATAAGGGAGGGGGAGGAGAACAGGGGAGGGAGGGAGAACAGGGAAGGGGGGGGACACAGGGAGGGGGGAGCGCAAGGGGTAGAGGGAAGGGAGCGTAAGAGGGGAAGGGAGAAGGGGAAAGAGATAATGCGGGAGATACAGAGAAAGAGGACAGCTAAACAGAGAAAAAGGAGAGAGAGGGAGAGGGGAATGGAGCAACAGTATGGGTTTAACAAGGAAAAAAGGGAGAAGATACTGTGTGGATCTATTGGGGAGGGAGGGGAGGGGGAGGGGGTCGCAACGTACCCCTAGGGAATGCATGAACTAACATCTAATGAAGGAACAAAAGTGTATATGCAAATGATGCCTGTCAGATCCTGTTAATTTTCCTAAAATATTACGATTTTCTCCGAAGTAAAAAAATCCGCCATGCTTCTGTGGACTGACATATCGTGTTGCTGGTCTCGTATATTTTCTTTTTTTCTCTCTCTCGAACCCGACTTAATATCCACCAACGACAAAATGACAACACTATTTATTATTTTTTTCTTTCTTAACATTATGTTACCTTCATTACCACATCGTGCAGATTCACGAACCAACGACCTGATATTAACTTTGATATTCAAGCTCGCAGCATATAAAACATGCCGACAAACCTGTTCGAGGGAGCAATGATAATAATTTCCACAACAAACGCACGCATAACAAACAAACACATGTTGTATATTATCCCTCAGGTTGATGAAGAGCGGCAGACTGGGATGACAAGGCTATATATATTATTTAACCTCCATCCTGCGAGATTAGATTAGTCACCCCTTCCGACACATCACTGAGAACGGGGGAGCATAAACCGTGCATTGCAAGACAAACAAATGGAATCACATGCACGCTCTGAGTTGCACACTCTGGGCTACAGGTATACCTTGAGGGGGAAAAAGAAGAGGGGGAGGAGGAAGAAGTAGGAGAGGAGGAGGAGGAATAAGTGGGAGAGGAGGAGGAGGAGGAGGAGGAGAAGAAGAAGAAAAAGAAGAAGAAGGAGGAGGAAGAGAAGGAAGGAGTAGTAGAAGAGAAGGGAGAAGGGAGAGAAAGAGAAGAAAGATAAAAAAGGAAGAAGACGGAGAAGAAAAAGAAAAAAATGTAAATAGAAGAAGGAAAAGAAGGAAAAACAACAAAGCAGAAGAAGAAGCAGAAAGAGAGAAAAAAAGGATAAAAAATATATATAAATATATAAGAATAAGCAAAAAACGAAAGAGAGAGAGAAAAAAAAAGCCCACGAGAATACCAAACAGGAATAACAAAGTTTAAAATGAAGATTGGATCCGCCATAAACGCACGCTTGCCCTTTACAAGTGGCTGAATAAAACCTGAATTGATATCAAATGCTTGGCGACGAATTAACGATCGTTCAGGTGAGAGATAATACGAGGGTTGAAGCCGTACATTAGGTGCGCTTTTGTTATTTCTTTTGTTCTAAGTCTGCGTTCGATTCGTAAGAAATTGTTGTGAGGGAAGAGGGTGTTACTTAGAACTAATTTTAGGGAACAGATCGCGAAAGTGTGGATTACGCAGTGGGAGATTTAAATAAATTTGAATAAGAGAGGGGGGAAATAGGGATGTTAAAAGTACGAATGAAAATTTATTAAAGAAAGTGCATCTTCCTTCTCTCCTCCCTTCCTCCCCCCCTCCTCCCCACAGGTACCCAAACACCCATTCCTATATACACATATATAAATGAACGCAACCCCCCCCCCCACCTTTCCTCTCCATACCCACACATACTTACCTCCCCCCCCCTTAAAGAAAATCCCACCCATCTCCTTTCTCCCCCCCTCCCCCCTCCAAAGCACATACGGACACCCCTACCTCCCTCGCCCCCCAACGCACTCACACTCCCCCTCCCCTCCCCCACCTTAACCCTTTACCTCCCATAACGTACTCACACTTCCCCAACCTCCTCCCCTCCCCCCTCCCTTACCCCCCTACTCCCCACCCCCATCCCCATCACCACCCCATTCCTTCCTTCCCATCCCCTTTCCTCCATCCCCCTCTTCCTCCCTCCCCTCTCCCTCCCTCCCCTCTCCCTCCCTCCCCTCACCCTCCTTCTTCCTCCCCTCACCTTCCCCCCCCCCCCCCCCCCCGCGTGCCCTCACAGCTCGGTGGTCTCACGAGGGTTCTGAGCGCAACGTGAACATCTTCATTCCAACGCAAGAACATTCCATGGAGTTTCTATCAAGCAAACCCACCATTATCCTTCAAGGGAGAGAGAGAGAGAGAGGGAGGGAGGGAGGAGGAGAGGGAGAGGGAGAGGGTGGGAGAGGGGGAGTGGGAGTGGGAGAGGGAGAGGGAGAAGGGGAGGAGGAGAGGGAGAGAGAGAGGGAGGGAGGAGGAGGGGGATAGGGAGAGGGAGAGGGTGGGAGAGAGAGAGAGAGAGAGAGAGAGAGAGAGAGAGAGAGAGAGAGAGAGAGAGAGAGAGAGAGAGAGAGAGAGAGAGAGAGAGAGAGAGAGAGGGAGGGGGATAGGGAGAGGGAGAGGGTGGGAGAGAGAGAGAGGGAGGGAGGAGGAGAGGGAGAGGGAGAGGGTGGGAGAGGGAGAGGGGGAGGAAGAGGGGGAGGGGGAGGGGGAGAGGGGGAGGGAGAGGGGGAGAGGGTGGGAGAGGGGGAGTGGGATAGGGAGAGGGAGAGGGTGGGAGAGGGGGAGTGGGATAGGGAGAGGGAGAGGGAGAGGGTGGGAGAGGGGGAGTGGGAGGGGGGGAGTGGGAGGGAGAGGGGGGAGGGGAAGTGACGTGATAAAAGCGGAGTGTGAGAGGAAGATTGGGGTATAATAAATACGCACGGAAGGTTTATGTAAAAATCATTTGCGCGGACGTACTTGTGTTTACGTTCCACATAAATGCAGATATACGTACATGCATGTATACACACACACACATACACATACACACACACACACACACACACACACACACACACACACACACTCATTCACTCACTCATTCTCACTCACATACACGCACACACACATACACACACACACACACACACACACACAGAAACAAACAAACAAACACATAATCCTCCTTCCCCCACCCACACCCATAAAAAAGGGGAAAAAAAAAAGTAATCTGTAACATTTCGAAAAAAACAAAAAACGTCAAGAACCATTTTCGAAAACAAATGACATGAGAGAAAGACGAGAAGAAGGTGGCAGAAGGGACTAAAAGAAAGAAAAAGAAAAAGAAAAAATAATTATAGAAAAAAAAATAGAAAAAAAAGTGTCAGAAAATTTACAATGATGCAGAGATTGTTCCATGGGGATGACTATGTAAGAATTCATATATTTTTTTATTTTTTTTTCTTCTAATATTTATCTCATTCTTTTTATTAATATTTTTTTCTCTCTCTTTCTCTTTCTCTCTCACTTCACTTACATTAAATCGCGCTTCGGTGCTTCGATTATCTGGTTCTCATAATATCGTTTATCTCCAATACCGTCATTAGGAAGACAAAGAAAAAAAGAAAAAGCAAAAGAAAAATAGTACATCAAATACTGTAAAACAAAAACAAAAATACAAAAAAAATAATAATAAATTTCTTTTTTTTTCTTTTTTTTTTCTTTTTTTTTGCAAAGGCTACCGAAAAAAATGGTCTTTAAGTAAAACCAAGAACACGGTTTGTCTCATTTGCCAATTCCTGTAAAATGGTTGGCTCTCTTAACGCTGACCAAATTGGCGGGTGAGGGCACGGCGGATGAACAAAAAATGAACAGTGGAAGAGAGGGAAGAACAAGAGAGAGAGAGAGAGAGAGAGAGAGAGAGAGAGAGAGAGAGAGAG